GTCGGCAGCTAAAACTGTCACTCGCTTTATTGGCATCAGAGAGAGAGAGAGAAAAGGGGGAAAGAAGGAAATACGCAAAAGGCATTATAAAATTCCTCCATATGCCTCATACAACATATAGAGCAGAGAAAAATTACACTTCGTGCAATTCTTGGACTCACTTGGTTTGAATTAAAACTATGTCAATCTTAGATCTAAATTTCCTGCATAGCATAAGTTAAGAGAAATCAATCCTGTTCTCACTTTCAGTGAGACCAAACATGAACCCAGCTTTGTTAAGGTAACATGCATTAATGGCCACCCAGGGTTCATCCCAAAGCACACTACTTAGTCTGTCTATTCTCATTAGCTTTCAGGCTTACTGATGAAGCAACAAGGTAGAGCTCTACAAACTTCTGCTTGGTGCTATTCAGTTACAGAAATCATGGGCAGTCTCTAATTCAGAAACGCGTGAAGTATCCTTGGTCCCCAAAAGGTATTATCTGGAAAGAAATCAAAATTCTATTCACCAAAATATTTATATTAGCTGAGAAAGCTAAACTGTGCCTAGAACGGAGCTGGCAAGCTTCCCTGGAGTGTCTCTGCCAGTGTGTAATACATAGAAAGCAGCCCCACCTCCCACAGCCCCGTGGTGCATGCCCGGGGCTGGTTATCACTTCATTACAGTGCCAACTATTTGTAAGGCCTCAGAAATCTGGAAACTTTGGAGCGCAGCAGCCGAATGAAGGATCTTGGGAACATCTCTCTTGACTCTTGGGCTGTGTACTTGAAGTAGTTCTGTGGATGTGCCAACACGTCAAACAATGCTTTTATCAGCTTCTTGTCCTAGAAAAAGGAAAGCAGATTTTACAGTAATTCCACAGAGGAGTTAGGGTCAGTATTACCAAAGTTTAATGACTATTTGACTCATAAAATATTATGAGTATTTTACTTTTCAAGTTCTGTTTCAGGGGCTTAGAAAATAGTGAACCAAGGCTGGCATTCAGGCCTTAGGGAAGTCACGGGAGTTTCACATTACCAGCACCAGGATTTCTTCCCTCCTCATATTTCCAAGAACAGTGAACAAACAGACACATCACGAAACAAACACACTTGATCTGATATGCAGCAAAACAACTTGCCCATGCAAGTCTCCTAAACAAGGTCAGAGAAATCCACAAAGAGATTTTTTTCGCCTGGGAATCAAAAGCCTTTGTTAATCTACAGGCTACAAGCAGCAGTACCATGTGCTTCCCCAGGAAATTAAATGTCATATCCCTGAGTTTGCTTCATTGATTCCTTTCAGCATAGCCCGCATGAGGGTAAAGGGGCTATTGTTACAATAGACTTCCCTGGTAGGTCTGATTCACCTTTAATCCCCGCTGAGCAAAGGGTCTCATATCCATTGCTCTGCACAATCAGGATCTGCTGATTCACCCCATTTCCTTGAAGCAGCATATGTCTAGTGCACCAAGGAACAGAGCTGATGCACAGCAGCAAGCAAATTCACTCACACCAAAAAATGTCTTTTTCAATCAAAACCAACATGTTTAGTGGGAGGAATGTACCTTAAGTATTTCTTGATGATTTTCAGATGCATAAAGTCTACCATCTCGAACAATGTCTTCTATTAGTTCTTGGTAATCCTCTATGGGGAATGCACAAGAGAGTAATTTGCAGGTTCGCTTCACTTACATACTCAATGCCTCCCTTTGGCTACACATTTAAGCCCCATCCCTAGAAGAACCAGTGATACTTGGCCCTCATATTAGCAGTCAGTAAATATTCCGAATGCTTTTCTGTAAAGAAACTACAAATGCTGTTTACTATGAGAACAGTGTACTCTGCTGAGCTGCTCAGCATCAATCTGTCAAAAGCAAAAGAAATCATAATGCACCTAGGACCATAGTGCCTACTGTAACCAAGTAATCTGCTTCAAACCAACTACACTGCAAAAACCCATCTGTAAACACTGACAGCCTGCCATTGACTTCTTTCTACAGAAAGCAGGAAAACAAAAAAAAAAAGAGGTAAGAGGAAGATGTCTTAAAAGGCAAACCCCCAGCCAATCAAAACTTGAAATGCTTCAAAAGAAGAGGTCTCCTCTGAAAAATTAATTAGCCACTGCTGATGAAACTCTGCAGACCACAGTGAAGAAAACTCCTTCACAATTAGTCCAGCATGGACAGAATGTACAATATCACTTCACTTATGCTGACGTGGCAAAGACTCAGCTCCAGTTTCAGTCCCGCTGATTCTGACAAGGACAGGGTAAAAATCTTGCTCCTCCATCTTCTTTTCAATATAGATATTTTTCTATCTGGTACTAGATTGCAACATGATAAATAAGAAGCACTTGGGCTCTGCCTAATTCCTACTTGGGTGCACTCTATTGTCACCTGAAGCAACCCAGAACTGTGAAGGCACAAAAATACATAAACATAGACTCTAGTTCTGAGCTCTGCAATTTTCAGGCCAGAGCCCAGAACTCCAGTTCTTTGTTTAGGTCTGTGGAAGACTGGTAATACGGTGACACTTAAGACTGCAGTGCAATGCAGAATTCCTTAAACTATCTTTAAATGAAAATAGCTACTGGAAGTGACGCTAAGAGCGCTGGATTACCCTTCTGCTTATGGAGTGGAGCTCTGCACTGCTGCAGCTGCACTAGTCCACCACACAGGCTTAGCTGCTCACACCCACTTACCATCATACGTTACATAAGGAACTTGGAATCCTTTGGCACTGTTCCCTTCATTTGACTTGAACTGGATCCACAATTTCTTAGACCTAGAAGTGAAAGCTATAGGGCGTTCGTAGGTTTGACAGGTTTCATATGTGGTCACTGAGTTGGAAGAAGCTTTCAAAGAAAACACAATAAGCAGTTATCTGACAATACTTCATACTAATGAACAATTAGAAAATAGTTTAAACTACCACAACAAAAATACTTGCTGGTGTTAAAAAAATCTCCTTAAAATGTGGCAGACCATCAGTGGATGGCAGGTCATCAACAAGTGACTTCTTGGTCAGGAAGTATTTTCCCTCTTCCTTAAGAAACAGTCCACTGTTTGAAGGATGCACCAATATTAGAAACTGAAGTTCTTTTCACACATCACACACCTCTAGGGATTAGCAAGCATCTCCTCTCTCCTAACCCAGACTAGAACTGCTTAGCATAATGCATGACTAGCTAGCTTGAACCATCTACCCCTTAACAATATTTCTTTATGAGTTCACTGACACATCATAGCCTTGCACCCTTGTTTCACATGAACCTACAGAGCAGCATTACCAAATAAGACTTCTCAATCTGCCATTTAAAAAATTTTCTTAAGTAGAGGCCAGTCAGGCTACATCTAGTTTATGTAAACAGCAGTGCATGTGAGAAACCTGTATTGCGCACTGAGATAGCCCCCATATGCCTCAGTAGATATTTCAGACTTACAGCTTTTTCGCATCACCAGGTAGTCTCCACACTCATCTTCTATTGGTAGGAATATTTCTGGAACCACAATCAGAATACGGCGCTTTGGCGGTGGGTTGATATTCCAAGTGCACTCAGTGTTTGCAGGATAGTCCCCAGGGTAGTTTGGTGATTCAATGTATCCAGTGTAATCTCCCAGCTCACCTCCACACTGCCTGTCTGAAAAAGCAACACAGTATGCAAGCTGAAGGAAAGTGAGGCTATCTTACAGCTTTCCTGCAGTCACTGTCGGGAACAGTACAGGGGTGACAGACACACACACTTTTCCTTTTACATCCGGTACATGTACAGTTCTTTTTGCCAGCTTCACTTCACACTGCTGCCTGCTTCTGCCTTGGTGTTGTAATCAATGCAGACTCACAAAAATACAGTCTAGTCCCTGTTAACACAGCAGGTGCTATTGACGAAGCCACAGCCAAACAACAAGGCTACTGTAAGAGGATACAGCAATGGTAAAGCAAAGGTGCTCCACTTGCTTGTAGCAGACAGAACACTTTTATACAAGTACCAGCTGAGGTCAAACTGGATTCTGAGGTGCCCTGTGCAGGCAACATGCCAGCAGCAGCACAAAACAGGGAGCATAGCAGGCCCTTTGTCTGCACAGACCAGCATTGCTGGCAGTAAGGGAGGGTGTACTGTATCCGTGCAGGATACTTTGCCTGTGCTCCCCAACTCCGTGCAGCCACATGGGTTTGAGCACTACAGCACTGTTAACAGTGATGTGTGGGTGTGACATGCCCAGGGAATGAATTCTTTAAGTGAGAGACGTAGTTTCCAGAAACACGTTTCTATGTAGGTATGTGTACACATGTCTGTGTGTCTATAAATGTCTCCAGAGGTTCTTCTGAACAGTCACCTCTTTGCCCTCTATTTTGCCTCTTTAATTTACCCTCAGTTTCCCACACTACAGCTACCATAAATCTAGAACAGTAGTACTCTTTGTAATTGCCTCTTTCAAAGGTTTTATTAAGAAATGGTTACTAGAGCCATTAAGGTTTGTGAGCTAGCTTCCATTCATTTTAATAGGAGAATACAAACTCTGCTATGTCACGAGAGAAAAGATTTAACAGCAAGACCCTGAGCAACCCAGCACCAACTGGCAAGACACAATCGTCACTTACCTTAACAAGAATGATGGAACCAGTCAGCAGAAATGGTCTTTCATAGACCTCAGTAAGTCATGTGGGATGAGATGGAGGCAGGCAACAAGAGAAGCAACATCTCTGCCTTCTGTCTAAGCCCCCTGGAACAAAGCTAAGGTTGCCCTGAGGGCCACACTGAGCATTAATGGCCCAGTCTTTTTCATTTGTAAGAGCTCATCCAAACCATCTTGCTATACTTACTTTTGCACTGTGTTATATTTGTTGACCCATCAAAGTCAGTAGTGGTGTTTCCAGGGCATGAAATACAGTAATTTTGTCCAAACTCAGGCTGGTATGTACCAACTGCGCAGCGAATACACCGATGAGTTGTGGTGTTATAAAAATGGCCAGGTGAACACTGAACTGGACAGTAATTAAATATGCATCATGATTAAAAAAGTGGCAGTAGCATACTACAATATGATTTTATACATTTGTATAGGACGTAGTATAATTTCAGTAACTGAAATGTCATATTCATAAACTATGAGGGTAACAAGGCAGAGGTAATTGAACAAATTTTAGTTTATCAGGTCATTTTGTGCAAGTTGAAAATTCCCAAATACAATGCTATAGCAGTTCTCCGTGAAAGCAGTACTAACAGATACGGGAGAGTATAGCCACCATGATTTTCTAAGGACACCAAGCAGAACAGTGTGCTACCAAATGGTCTAGACATAGACATTTGCTTGGAAGGTGAACTGTATGTGGCGATACTAACTAAACATGTCTCTCCTGCCTGCTCATGCCAAGCAGCATGTGTGCTGTTGTTGCATCCTAGGATACCCCTGTGACCAACTCAACCCAAGCAGAGGTGAAAGACATTGGTCCTCTAACAAGGGGCACATTGCATCAATATTAGTGTCTAAACTGATATATTGCTGCCTTCTCTCATGATCACACCTTGCCTTTCAACAACAGGCCATGACTCAGGGGAGTCACATTCACCAGATCTGCTGCTGCTTAATTTCTTCACATCACGTAATCATCATGTTAGCAAGACACGTGAGCTATAGCCCTCACAGGGCTGGCTGAGAGTACCTCCTGCATCACCAAAGCAAGGCCCCTTTCTGACTTACCAGCTCAGTACTTCAATTTTGCAAAATTAAGTATCAAACAAGAGCATTTGTCGATTCAATAATACTTGACTGAAGAAATCTATTCGGTATCACATTATTACCAGTAAAATTAATTCTTTGACCATATTGCAAAATTCATCTAATATGTTGCAATTCTCAATGGTAAACATATCTTAACTGACATTAGAGAGATCTCTTAATCCAAACCACTACCAAATGTTGGCATCGGGACCTTATTTCTATTCCTTATTTCTACTCTGCAACAGCAGATTTTCTATTAAGACTTTTTTTCTCAAGTGAATTTATATAAATAATTTTCTTTTACCCATGCTTTAGCACATTGAGCAAATCATTATACCGATGAACATTTCATATCTCTCCACAGACAGTATCTTTATCCACATTTTCAAAGACAGTTTCATAGCTGCCTTTCAGCTTTTTTAATTTTAGATATCTAAGATGCTAACAAAATTTCATCACTTCTAAAGATAAGATCCTCACCTGATTTTCACTCCTGTGAGGAAAAGCTTAGGAGCTGATTGCATGTCAGTTGCACTGTGATCAAACTGAGAAGGCTAGTTGAGGTGCTGCAGGGTTCAGCTGAACACTAGCTTTTTAGATATAGCCCACAACACCCAAACCAGTTTCTCATTATGAACATGAAGAAACTATTTTCTTTCTTATCCTCCAGGACTGAAATCCCCTTGTTTGCATTGACATATTGCTGCTATGCACAAATCCAAAATGCCAGTAAGTCATACCGGCCTTGATTTTTGTCTTGAGGCTTTTTGTCTCTCCTTTGTTCCTTTATATGACTTTTCACAGATCAATCCCAACTCCTTCTCAAATCTTGTATAAAAATCAGTTATAGAAAGAACTGAGACTTTACCGAGTTTGCCTGAACCCAGGCCAGGCCAACCAGCTGTGAGACTGCTGGAAGGATTGATCCTCAAAAGGAAAAAGACTCCTCTCGGAATGACCCACTTGGAGCAGTGGCAGTTACTTTTGCCTCAGAGTAATGCAGTTCATCAAAAACTCTTGACCTTACCTTTGGTCTCACAGTCCTGAAACAAGGATGCACTGCTATGTCTTGTTGTTAGACCTCCTCCACAGGGAAAGCAGGATACTCTCCCAGCTTCAGGCTGGTATGTTCCAAGGGGACACGGCAGACAGGGTTTGAAGCCATCAGTAGAATATTCACCTGGGGAGCACTGATCTAGAAGGGGAAGAACACACTTTCTTCAACCTGAACATTATAGATGAAGGTGTGTTAGTGAGTCTGCACAGGACCTGAATCTCCATGGTGAAACTGCTCTTCTCTTTACTTGGGAAGTGGAAACCAGGGCTTCAGAACTGAACACTAGCAACAGCTAGAGCTGAATACACCCAAAGTACACTGTAAAACAGAAACAGACATGAGCTATTCTGTGAGCCGGAATGGCTTTTCTGCTTTGTTGCAAGGCTACACTGGACACTCAGTCCATCCAGTGCTCTCTGCTCATCTATACAAGACAATTATGTAGTGATTATCTCCTCTTTCTAGCTAAAGAGCTCTGGGACTCCTCTCAAATGAAATAATTTAGTACTGAACCTAAGATGCCAAAAATGTATTTCCAGATTTCTATAAGTATGTTCATCTCAATCATTGAATATTCATACTTCATAACCATTAGTGTTATTGGATTGTGTGAAAACCTCAAGTGCAACAAGTAATTGTGCAAATTCACTAAACTAAACATTATGTGTGCTTCAAAGTCTTTTAAACCAGAAATATTCTTGCCATTCCTCTGATACTGGATCTTTGATAATGATCATCTGTGCACTGGATTGCTGTGTTCTGTAGCACTAACTCAATCTAACCTATTTTACTTAAACACACACATCAGTGCTATCTAACAAGCCCAGCAATATTTATGGGCACCTTTGAAAAGTTCTGGTTTTCAAACTTTTCACAAAAGAACTGGCTTCAGTGCCAGTATTTAATAATTGCCCTGTGCTAGAAGAGCACAAAACACTGTCACAGTTGTTCAGCAGTGCTGAAAAATCCTGTCCTTTTAAGACCTGTTATGATAATAAACTGTTATTTTTGGTTTATAGCTCAAATAAATTACACAGTGAATAGCTATTTTGTTAGGAAGTTAAAATGGCCTTGGCTTCATTTCAGGATATATGACTAACAACAAGCAGGGCATTAACTACCGGTCATGATCAATGATGAAGAGTTTTGTTTATGGCTGATACACTGAGTGGAACAGTAAGAGTTCCTCTTTAGCTTAAAATAAAATACAGCATCTTAGACAATGTCCTGTAGCATATCAATGAAAGCTTGTGAGGAAGTCTTAGCTCTTGGTTCTAACTTTTTCCACTACACATCACTTCTGCCCTCATAAGGACACACATTCATTTGCTCCCACACTTTTCAAGCCCTTCTCCATTTTATAAACATTCCTCCAGAACACTCATCTCTGTTCTCTTTGTGCACTTCAACAAACATGAGTGAATCAAGGCTTTCACTGCAGCACTCCTAATAAGGTAAGGAAAGAGCACTATTTACAATTCCATGACAATGAAGGACAATCAAGGTTAGTAGATGTGATTTTGAGAAGTGGCTACTGACTTCAGAAACCTAGAAGCAATGGAAAGAGTAGCACAAATCTCCTTCCCTCATACAAGTCTATGGCACTATGAGAAATCAATGCTCTGAGTGGCCTCACTAGAAACTATCTGCTCTTCGCTATCTCCCCTTAGCCTGTCTTTTTCCATTCATTTTGATCACATGTCAAGTTAGGGGCGGTTTGGGTTTCTTTCTTTTACACTTGGGAGAGGGGGTGTCGTGTTTTGAACAAAATGCTACTTTACATTGACCATACAAGTTCAATCTTAATACAGTACTCCATGTTTTCTGACCTTGCTCAAAATCCAGTGTAACAGTAGGACAGCTATCAGAGCTCAAAGGAAACCTGTCCCAGGCAGGAACCAAACCCACCTCTTATGTGGAAATGTTACATTTGAAAATTTATCCCATCAGATCTCTCTTGACAAATCGATCATCTGCACCTTACTTGCCTTGAAACCACATGTAAAATTCCCTGTGGAACAAAACTGAGTTAATTATTTAGCAAAGTGCCTAATTTTTCAAAATTTGCTTTGAGGAAGCAAACTTAAAAATACCTCCTCAGACACAACTGAGATCCTCAAGAATATAGAATCACAGAATTTTAGGGGTTGGAATGGACCTGACAGATCATCTAGTCCCAAGCCGCCCTGCCATGGGCAGGGACACCTCCCCATTAGACCAGGTTACTCAGGGCCTCATCCAGCCTGGCTCATCCAGATGGAGCAGCCTTAGATGCACTGCATGACTGAATTCTCAGAGCAAGAGAAAGACAGGGCAGAAGGATCTGGTGGTCTGTTTCTGTGCCTTACCTCCACATCGAGACACACTGCAAGCTCCAGCTGACTTTTGGTTTCTAGGATTCTGAGGACTGGGGCAAGAGTAACAAGTTATTTGTCCTTCCTCATCCTGTCAAGTTTTATTAGGGCATAACCTAATAAACAACTTTCTCATTCCCCACCATAGTATGTGGTGGGCAATGAGACACTTCAGCTAACTAACAACAAAGAAATATCAGATCACTAACATTTTGTGACTGTGGCTTCAAAGCCAAATTAGGCAGCCAGCAGCTAGATTGCTAGATAAAGTTCAAGGTAAAACCAACACTATGGTTACACAAGTATTAGATCTGGTCAATTGCTCTGCGATCTGGCAGTTTCTGTGCACTGAGAGAAGACCAAAATTAACCTGAAGTCAATTAAGCTGTACTGGAGCTACACTCCAACTGCTTCAGGCCACACTTCCCACTTGCACTGGCTGCTCCAGGGACGCACTGTGGCAGGTCAGCAGGACGGTGGTGACAGTCCCCACAGCAGAAACACAGAGCTGAAACAGTGAAATGCAGGGGCTGCGTAAAATCAACCTAGGTCCAAACAAAACTTTTCCGTTAGATCTGAACCAACTGAGTCAAGTATTTCCTTTTAATTTTCCTACGAGGTGGCAACAACAGAAAGAAAATTGCAAAAGAGAAAAAAAGCTAACTTGCTACCACCACTGTACTACAATGTTCAAAGCCACCTGAAAAAGTTGTGTACAGTGTGGTGGTTACAGCTGTGCACTAGCATGGAGAGAGAAAAGGATCAAGTGGGAAGACACAGGACAAACTGACCCAAATGTGGAAAGAAAGCCATGTAACGTTTACCCAGCTCATTCAGTATGAACTACAGCTTAAAACTAAGCATATCTGCTTGGGCAACAGCATCTTGCTGGAGACAAACCAGGCTGACACAGGAGTCCAGCTGGACAAGACATGGGCTTGTTCTGTGCGTCCATGGGGTTTGAGCTAACAGGACACTACCAGTCCAGCTGGCCACTCTCTGCTCCAAAATCATTGCACATTGTTATCAGTGCCCCAGTGTGTGGAGCAGCCTTTGAAGAAGAGGCAAGGGGATTCAAGTAATTGATTCAACAGCAGAGGTGTCTGGCTTATGAAGCAGCATATGTGATATTTCTCCTGGAATCAAAGATGGACAGGCCCATCAGGGTATTCTACTTGTATCTGATGTTGCTACATGCAATAATGACCCTATGATGACTATGATTTCTGAGATGCACCAAACACTTCAAGCTTTGATAGATCCTATGCACATATAAGAAAAGAGATTAATATATCCAGATACAGATTTAGCTATTTACAGTCTAACAAATACTCATTATTCAATGCAATACTAGAATTACGCCACATGTCTGTGCTTTTATGCCTCAAGCTGTCAAACATGTAAGTTTCTTCACATGACTACATCAAACCAAACTTTTCAGAGTGACACAAGTGTCCAGACAACTTGATCCACAAACACATTCCCTGTAAACTGCTCCCAGTTCATCATCTTCCACCTAGAAATGTTCCAAACACACGCCACTCACCTAGCCTCATAGGAACACAAAATAGGGGTAATGAGGAAAGCCTGTTTAGAAGTTCACAGCATTCACCAGGGCCCAATTTAGCATAACAAACAGACTCAGTGTTAGACTCAATTATAGCAGTATTAATTACACGGGCATATGTCAATGCTAAAATCATCCCATAGAAATCCACAGGACTGAAATTAGGATGACAAAAATTAACCTTCTCTTAAAAAAACCCCAACAGAAATAAAAAAACCCCAAACATTAACACCCTCCCAAAAAACCCAAAAAACCCCACAAGATACATCTTTAGGAAGTTCAAACTTTTCCTGTCATTTGCTTAAATGAAACAAAAATGTTTATGAACTTCACTTCCCAAAACTAGAAACTACATGGTCCCACCTGACACACGGGAAATACCCAGTCAAACTAGATCTGATGTGCAAATAATGACGTTAAAAGTCACAATTCCACTGGCTGGCTTTGCTCGTCTTTCAGAAACCTCATTGTTTTTCTCCAAATCAACAAAATAACCAATTGCCTCTAGTAGACTTCATTTCTGTAGCCACTGGCTTTGTTTGTCCTTAAAACCCATTAAAAACCTGGTCTTGAGTCTCATGCAGCTGTTATAAAGAAAAAAAAAAAGTGAAAGCTTTTCTGCTGTAAAAAAGAAGAAAAGGGGCAGGGGGAGGGGTCCACAGTGAACCAGGATTAACAAAGACACTTAAAGGCTCTTTTCAACACATCAGCCTTTGAGCATTTGCTCCTATAGACAAATCCTGTAGTATCTCAGGGGCTGAGAAGGCGAACCTCATAAAGGGGGTCATGATCCACCCATTCACCATTTTCTTAAGAATGATGCCTTGACTTTATAAGGAAAATCACCAACACCTGATGCAAATTGATTCTGAAGCAGCATCCTTTGGGTTATTGTGTTTTAGCGGCTCAAACATTTATGTCACATGAGATGGTTACACATTCTAAGGCTGTGTCTTAAATCTCTGATTGTCAGAGCAAGCAGGTCAGCAAGAAAATAGCTCCCTTTCTCCTCATTTGATAACTCATTTCTTCTTGGTGGATTTTCATAAAATTGTAAAAGAAAAAAAAGGCAACTATGTTGCCTGTTGTGTAACACTATTAACTACAACAACTGCCAAGGCTGGCAGCACTTGGCTTTTCTCTTTAAATCTCTCATACTTTTATAATGACAGTGTCACATCTAAACTTTGAGATGTGCCTCATCACTTTGTATGAAATGTTAATATTTTATTTGCATCCTCTCAGCTAAGGGGACAAAACTGCTGAATGCTGAACAATGAAATGCATTGACACCTCTCATGCAGGATGAAGCTGCTCATTATTTACGTCAGAGCAGTGACTATGCCAGTGCTGTTCATGCTTGCCGTTCTCTGAAGTGACAGCTCTTTGGATGAATCCACTTGCTGCTGCTGGGGAGTAAGGATATGCTCACATGTCCTTTTAACCCAGCAATTTCAGGAAATGGTAATTCTCATTGCCTCCTTCCATCTCCTAACGTACTGCTGTGTCCAGCACAAAAAGAAGTACCAAAAGGAACAGGCAAGGTGTATGTTCAGCTCCATGGAACATGATCCAGGTTTAACAGAGTTTTAAGCAACAGAAAAGCAGCTAAATTGCTTGTTGCTTCTCCTTCAAGTGGAATGTGCCTGAGGGCAAAATGGTCCCAATAGATATGAACTTATTATCTTTCAATATGGAGGTTTCTGGTAAATCAGTTTCTGGATAAGGAATTGCTACTATTTAAACAGCTGGTCTTTGGCTGTTAAATCTGTGTAAAGTCTAGCTTGTACTGGAGAATGAACACTTGCAGCCAGGCTAGTGAGTAAAATTGCATTCTCCCCAGGACAAATCTTCTCTTGAAGAGGCATGTAGCATTTCCAGCATCCTCACATGGTTCACATGCAGCCTTGAGCACTGACATTCAAATAGGCATGTTTTTATCTTAAGAGTTACTTCAGCATCAAAAGATCACACTTCTGCTATGAGATTCCAGTTCCCTGGGAAGGCTGATGAAAGTTTCATTTTGCTACATACATTTCCTGCGACATCCATTATTAGAGATCTACCACTGGTTGCTCCTTGGAAGTCATTCACAGGACTGTATGGAATTAACCAATGCACGTCAAAGCTGAATATGCTCGCTCATTGATATAGAGCTCACACATAACAAGGTAGACAAATGCAACAACTGAACCTCTAAAGCATGAGGAAATCCCAAACAGAACTGCATGATAGACAGCAAAATTGAAATTAAACACACTACCCCTTGGAATCAGTAATTAATTCCCTTTTACCATCAATAACTATTTAAAGAACAGCAGACACAACTTAATATGCAACCATCCAGCATATAAAGAGTTATAAAATACCTTGCAAATCAGATCTAATCTGTTCCTGGTACCTTTCTGAAGCTTTTCCTCTGTGCTGTGCCCCACTTGCAGACAGTAGGAGTTAAGTCAAGTTTCAGTCTTGTGAAGAGGGGGCTCAGGGGTGACCTCATTGCTCTCTACAACTACCTGACAGCGGTCGTAGAGTGGTGGGGCATGGTCTCTTCTGCCATGGCTGCAGGGAAAGGACTAGAGGGAATGGTCACAAGATGAGACAAGGGAGATTCAGACTGGATAGGACAAAATTTTTCACTGTTAGGATGGTCAGGCACTGGAATATTGCCCAGGGAGGCAGTGGAGTCACCATCCCTGGAAGTGTTTAAGAGGCGTCTGGATCTGGCGCTGGAGGCTCTGGGTAAGGGGTTACAGTGGAGTCACGATTGAACTCAATGGTCTTAAAGGTCTCTTCCAGCCTTGATGATTCTATGATTCTAAGACAGGAAAATCAGGAATAGTACTACCTCACCACAAGTGTGAAACCAAATGAAGTTTAGCCTGTTGCTACAACTGCAGGCCAATTACCCAACACAAAAGCTGTCAGAGCAGGAACTGGACTTTCCCTCTTACACTGCTCAAAAAATGTTTCAGACAGTGCTGTGCCAGGAGAAGCCTACCACAGGAAGAGGACCAGTACAAGACTGAATAAATAAAATTGTATCTAACCTAGACATACTCCAAGTTCCTGAAGAAGATCAGCTAAAACCTGCATTTCACTCAGTAACTGCATCACAGAAGACTTTTAAGTACCTATGACTTACTTTTTCCCCCCCTGCCCCACTGCTTCCTGCTCCACTGGCCAGACTAAGCAAAATCCCTTTGCCAAAGTCTGTGGACAGGGGGAGCCCTGTACAGAGACTGCATTCACCACCTGCACTGAATCCATCTGCTGACCTGGTATCTCTTGCTGTGGAGTCACTTTCTGCCCAGAACCATTAGCGTGTCTAGGCAAGCAGGGCCCCAGTGCTGTCCAGAAGTCCTCAAGTAGCTCTGCAAAACAATCAGATCAAACAAAAAAAAACCCACCCTGACTCTTCCATGCATATCCATGATCTAGCTTCTTCCCCTTCTTCACACTGTTCCCACTCCATTCTCTTCTCCCCAGTCTATTTCTTAGCTGCTCCTGAGTGGCAGTCCAAGCAGCAGCACTAGCCCCCAGGCCTGCCTTGACCATACACCCTGGGACAATCAGCTTTTTCTAAGGAAATGAGGCATACATAACAACATTGCTTCTGGGTGTCCTTTTATGTCCTCTCAGCAACTACTGAGCCGTCTGCCCAGCTTCCAGCAATCTGATAAACGATGCAGAGAGGTTTCAAAAATACTAATTTTCTATAAATTTAGTGTAAATAAGCAGGGAACATGCAAGTGGAAGGAGAGAGACCCTTTCAGTATCTGTGCAAGTGAAAGGCTGTGGTGGCAGTTCCATCTTCCGTTTGATCACAGCAAATCTACACAAGTATGGTCTGAATACTTCAGCTGAAAAAAGGAAGATTAATTTAGTGATTGCACCTTGTTAGACATGAGCAAATCAAACCATAAAGTGTGAGACCCACAGGGGTTCTTATTGTATTCCACTGCTCACAGCAGCACCTGTTAAGATGTCCAGAGCAAACTGTGGCACTAATTAAGCACAGAAAAGAGAGACTTTTACAAGCTGTTCTTCAAAACACTTGTCTTCATATGCTCAGTGACTGGTTTAAGCATGGACAGGCTATTTGTGCTCACCCCACCGAAGAGTTTCCCAGGCTAGCATTCGCCAAGAGCCCTTTTATCTCTGCACTAGCACAGAAATGCCACGTATACTGCTCATTTGTGTTGCAACATTAAACTGTTTCTGCAGCTACCTAAAAAATAATTGTGTTTCTTTGGTGTTCCAATTTCTAATTGGAACTCACATGGCCTTCTCCACCTGCAGTATGTTTAGCTTACTCATTGCTGTTCTTCCAGATGAAATCACAAGCATCTTCAGAGGCATACTGTGCTCTGCACAATGGACTGAGAGAGATTTTTTCAGTTTTCGTCTAGCATCCAACACAATAGCTTGAAAATATCCACATAAACTAATCTTGGTGAACTTTCCAAAGTTTTTCAGGCTTATTGCACTGTTACAAGAAAAAACACCAAAACAACTTACAGCTCTTTCCAACAGAAATCCTGAGTAATTCCCTGCTTGCTTGCACAGACGTTTTAAACAATTTTTCTGTTCTATGAATCCAAGCTCTTCCTAGAGTGAGCAAAACTAGATTGGAAAAATCTATTCTTAGGCCAAATGCGTTGCTGCTGGAAGATGTACTAATTCAATCTAACAAGCATTTTAAAGGCTTGCTGATTCGCAATCCACGTACATGCTGCCTAGCCCATGCAGCCTGAATTAGCTGTCATAGTTGTTAGGCCCCTGTTAAGATATAACATCTGACCCCTCTCCTTAACTTTTGTGCTTCAGAAGCATTTATTATGGACTGCATTACAGTGGTGCCCTCCAGTGCCATGATAATTAAGACTTTTCTCAGTACTGGCCTATAAACCCCCTATTGTCCATGAATTTGTAATTCTGTTATGAAGATTCTCTGAGACTCAGAGCTTAATCAGCAAAGAGAATGCCACTGTATCAAATTCTGCTCAGCTTTTTCTTTGGAGCAAGGAAGAAATGAAACACAGTGTTACACTGAATATCAAATGTGGTCTTTGAAGTAACACAGATGACGCCAAGGCCATTGGTGCCTGATGTTACTCCCCACCAATTTCTACCTTTGAGCTTATTCCAGGCTGTACATCAGCTATAGCAAGGTGCAATGCACCGAGCCCTTATTTTACTCTGTAACACAGCAATTGACAACAACAGAGACACACATCTTGGTAGCACTAACAGTAACCTGTACTCCTTCACACGCAGCCTTCACCTCTCCTGGACAAGCATCCCATGATCCCCCCCGAGCTCACCAGACCTGAACAAAGCAGTAAAACACACACGATGGTTTGTTCCTAATTCACATATAACTTACCGCATCTGTTACCCAGATATATCTGTCCTACACCACAGGCCTGCTGTGGCTCTGAGGGCTTGAGAGACTTCCTGGCCACTTCGTGGTCAGTGCCAGAGATGCGAATGCGGAACTGGTCCCTGCTGACTGTCTTTCGCAAGGTTCGGATGGTTTTACGGAACCTTTTTTCAGTCTTCTTCCGAGCACAGCGCACATCACACGTGTCTGAGAAGGATCAAAGGTGAAAGCTCCTATAAGTGACCATGCACAAAAACACACCCAGTGCAAAAGACCAACCAATGCAAATCGCCGAGAAAGCAACTTCTGTGAACAAGTCTGAAATCCTTAAGGACAACACCAACAGGCTAGAAGAAAATTAATCAGACCACAAGACTTCAATCTATGGGCACCTCTTTGATCTTTGAAACGAACCCCATCTCTCACTCTTTTTGAAGCAGTAAAATTAATTTTCCAAACAGGAGATACTTTTTGTTTTTGTTTTGCATACAGATAGGAGTGCAAAATACAGAAATTAAGGAGTGAACAGCAAGGAGCTTCAAACCGCACCTTGAATTATTTTCCAACCAACCTGTCACCTCCTTTTGGTTTGTTTCAAGCTCAAAGTCCACAGTGATAAAAATGTCTCTAGTCGCTGACAGTCTACTGAGGGTTCCATGAACATTCTTGCCAGAGCTGCACGTTAGGTTTACATAGTGGAAGCTCTCCATTACTGAATTACATGTCTCTGTGTGAACAAAATTAAAGGAAGCAAAAGCTTGTCCAGCTACATTATTAAACATTCACTAGTGCTCAGTGCATATGTTGTCATGAAGAATTAAAGAGGACCAAACGATCATCTCTGTGTGCCAGTAAACAAACAGTTTGGCCAGTTTCTCAACTGATACATTCTCACATATAATGACTCCCATGCACATACAAATGTGCTGTCAGGCTGACTCTGGTACTGCAGCAGGTCTGAGGCTTGATTCACCACTAGGATGGAAGCTTGGCAGCAGGGCTCAGTCTGCTTCCCCTGGGTTTTGCCACCAGGTTCTAAGGAACTGCCTTTGCGCTACGCAAAGCATCTGAAAGCCATGGCACTGCCTGCATCAGGCAAGCTACTCAAGGGAAAAAAATCTGCACTCATATGAAGCATGCGAAAAACCCATATTATTTAAATTAAGTAGTGGCTGTGTACACAAGACAGGTGAAGAGCATTTTCAAGGTTTCAATGAGGAAATAAGATTTAGTTAAAGAAAACATCCAGAATAAGCTTTGGTTCTGAAGCACATAACTCTTCACTGAGCATCTAGTGTAGTTTCTCGTTGTTACTCTGCTAAGGACAAACAAACTGACACACTGATTCATCATATTGTTTAGTGACTCCTTCCCCCAGATCCACCTTTTTTTTTTTAATGTACTCCTCCTCATTTTCTGCTGACTTTGTCAATTCCCAGGCTATACTTTCTGCTTGGGAACAGATGGAAGAGCTGAACGCACTGTGTCCATCTGGGATTGTTGAAGTACAAATGAAAAACAAGATAAAAGAGGAATAACCTTTTGACAATAGAGTCAGCATAAAAAGGTCAGGAGATTCTTCGATGAGGAAGACAGTAAGGAACAAGTGAGAAAGAAAAGAACAGAAAGATGAAGACAGAAAGGAAATGAAGAAAAAGAACTAACTGAGAATTTATTAGCAGTGCTACAAACAAAAAAGAAGGGCTTTTCTAGGAAGACTGTAAGGATGTCACAATGAAGTCCTGGGATCTGAAATAACTATTGCAAGAATCATGCCTGGAAAGGAGTGTGATTGATGAGACCAGTGAAGAGCAGAAAGCCTGTAAGTCCTTTGTGCTTTGCTTATGGTGTACTTCATATCTGGAAAGCACGTGATAACCCCTGAGCTATGGCTCCAACCTGCTTACCTGCATTTTTATAGTCATACCTGGTATCATCTGTTCTAGACCTTCTTGAAACATCCCAGACTTTCTCAAACTACATTTTCCTTCATTTAATTTAAAGGCTATGCTTATCTTGATAGCCGAGGCATCTTCAGGAAGAAACAATGACATGTTATTTTTTAAAAAAAGGAATAGAAAATTTAGATAACCCTAATGTCACATCATAATAATGACATCAAAAATATGCTGCTATAAGGTGAAAAAGCAGTCATCACAGAAACCCTAAAGATATGCCAGATCCCTGCTGCTGTGAAGCTGGTTTACAGCTTGAATTGGAACTAAGTGTGGCAAATTTTATTTAAAAAAAAGGAAGAATGATATGAAGTCCAGATCTGCTATTGAATTAATCAAATAAAGGTTAGTTGAAATCAAAAGAGATACTGCAAATCTGTTCAGAAAGTAGTTTATACCTATATAAAATAGCACCTCTTATCTGTTTAGCTATAAATGCTTTCTAAACTTTACTGTCCAACATCTCATTCTAAACATACGGTATGTTGTCCACACTGTCCAGTTAGTATGACTAAAAAGAGGTATTGACACTCCTGGTATAGCTGTTGGTTTTACTACTGATCTTTTTCTCTTTCCTTATTTTCAAGTTCTTATTTTCAGCGAGTAACGCTGATGAGGCACAAGGAGAATTTTCCACTGTAGTCATGAAGAAGAAAAATATACAATGGAGAGGGAAAAGAGAAAGTCAACAGAAACACCTTTATTTCAGTTATCAATGAAAATAAATCAAACCATGCAACAGTAAATGTAGTGAATACCCAGCCAGCTGGAAGCATTTGTATTTTGCTGCTTTTTCTTAAGCTGAGATGAGCTGCCACAGGTGAGGGTGTAGGCATCTTGTGTTCCTGACAGACAGACAGACAGTAAAGACACAGGCACAGTCCACAGACTGAAGACTCCTGTGGTATAAAAGACATTTTAAATTTGTTGATTGACATCACCTTCTTCACCTTTTTAAACAATGGTGTTCATAAAATACTCCACGTTAGAGCTTGTCTCCTCCAAAACCACTGAAAGGGTTCAGGAAGAAAACCAGCATCTGTGCCGTAAGTACCAGCCAAGTCGCGTGCCATGTCCTGTGGGGTGGAGGGTCTGAGCAGGCAAAACCTCAGACCCCACGCAGGGCTGGAATGCCTTCACCCCATTCTGCAGTGGCTCTCAGGGCCAGTTAAGGAATGGCCCAGGGAGCACAGAGAATTCTGCACTGTCCTCACCAGCTTCAAAAAGACAGTTGTCATGAGAGGGGAATCTGAGAGTAGGGTGGTTTTAGAAGACAAGTAAAGGGGGACCTTCCTGGGACACTGGCAGGGATATAGCCCTTTTTTTATTATCTATCATGAAAGAAGAAAGGTCCCTGATGATTGTCTGCTGCTTAAGGCTTCCATGACAATTAGGAGTTTGCCACTCTTACACTGTCTAATAACTTGCTTTTGTTAGTTTTAACTTACCAGAAAATACCTGGACATCCAGAGAGCAGCTCAAGAAGCATCTATTGCTCCCACCACTCTTAATGCAGTGCAGCCATACCTTGGGTGACATATTATCAGCAAGGGACCTTTTGACTCTAAATGGAATAAAACAAATACTCACAGAAGTAAAACATCTACCTACACCCCACTAACAAACTGGCATGCAGCTGCTTTTGTAGCTGGTACCTGAGAGCACCCACACAGTTGATAGGCTGTTTAGACAGAAAATGAAAATGAAACAAAATCACTGGAAGATCACACCACATAAGTAATTTTCAATATCATGAGCAAACCTACTCATACAGAGAAACAAAAGTAAATAGAAGAATGGGCTAGACAAGAACAGGAAAGGAAGCATCAAAATCCCTCAAAGTATCTCCTGTTTCTGGGGTTGTTTTTTGCTTGTTTTTATGAGTTTCAACATCCCTAGCATCATGCCTTGCTAAAAAGTAAAGCGGGATACCAGGAACCATGACTCGTACCACTTAACTGGACAGACCATCAGATCTGACTATAACCACATGGCCATCAGACACATGAGGAATGGAAATGTATTTACCAGACACCTTACCAACACAATCCTTTTTATTCCAGTGTAACTTGTAGTTAGAGTGACACAGGCATTCATAGTCTCCCAGCACGTTCACACACAGCTGCTGGCAACCACCATTGTTGATGCTACATTCATTAATATCTACAGAGGAAAGGCAAAAATACTTAAAAAAAATTTACTCTTCTCAAAGTTCTGTATTCCAAGTCCATTCTGGTTAACATGTACACAAACACTGCTTAGTACGGTTTGGAAAAGACTTTAGGAATGCTATCTGAACACCCACCTTGAAACAGTTTGTCTTCATGGAAATCCTTTGATAAAAGTCAAAATAGACCAAATATTGGTGAAGGGGAGATGCTAGCTATGTCCTTAAACTTCATAATTAAACAATATTCAGCCTCAGCAATATGATAACAAAGGCGATGAAATAAAAAACTGCATTGCACTGTGGTTACTTAATATTTCTAATTTGAAATAGAGACAAACAACATGGACAGGATTCATACTGGTCAGTCCTCCAAAGTACTCTGACAGATACAACTACTGTGGAACACTGTTTGACTTTGTGGGCAAACACCACCATTGTCCCTTTTGGCCAATTAGCCAATTTCAGGGCCTTCTCCTGCCCAATAAATGCCATTAGGAGGAGAAACTACTGACAACACAACATACTGCTTTTGGTACAAACTTGCATACTGATGCAGATTATACCACTCACTAGTGCTGTATCCCAGAGGTCAATACCAAGGCCAATACTGTTTATTGTCTTCATTAATCCTGGATGATGGGACAAGAGTTCACCCTCAGCAAGTTTGCAGATGACACAAAACTGGGAGGAGTGGCTGATACACCAGATGGTTGTGCCACTATTCAGAGGGATCTTGACTGGCTGGAGAAATGGGTCAATAGGAATCTCATGAATTTCAACAAAGGGAAATGCAAAGTTCTATGTCTTTGTTGCTCAGATCTGCTCTAATGATTGCTTCACTTGTCTCCCATAGCTTGATGGCAATTACACATAAACCTACAAAACTGCCATCAAGAAACCTCTTGCAAGTCCCACAAAGTTCATGCAACTGAGGGTATTCTACATACACTTTTGTTATTGGTAATAAGTTCCATAACCATTTGTTCCCCCCTCTAAGTAACAATTTGTTAGAAAGCACTGTAAAACACATTACAAAACAGATCTGATCTCTGAGGAAGATCTGCTGTTAACAACTGAGACAGCAGGGGTAGGAATGAGCAGCAGATCAATGATGAAGGAAGGGAACATCTTAAACTGGCACTGCTGCCCAAGATACTACAAAATCAGCCAAAATCTTTGGTTTTCATTGACCTTTTGTTAGGATGCTGCATGCAACGGCAATCTATTATCTCCAGCACTTAGTGTCTCCTTCCACAGAGATCAGAAAGTGTGTATTCAATATCCCTACCAGCTTTGACACAGCCTGCGATTGCCAGTCAATGAAGGACTTACTGAGTACAGGGATTAACATCTTCTGCACAGGAGTATGATAAGAAAAGACCCATTAGCAGTCAACAGCAAAATTACAGTTCCTTTCCTTCACTGGTGGCCAAAATAAATGGAATTAATGCAGAGGAATTAACGAGAACAGAGTTCTTTTAACAAGTAGAATCATAGAATCAACCAGGTTGGAAGAGACCTCAAAGATCATCGAGTCCAACCCTACCGTGGTCACTAGCCCATGGCACTAAGTGCCACATCCAGTCTCAGCTTGAAACCCTCCAGGGATGGTGAATCCACCACCTCCCTGGGCAGCACATTCCTATGCCTGAGCACTCTCTCTGGAAAAAATCTCTTCCTAATATCCAACCTAACCCTCCCCTGGCAGAGCTTGAGTCTGTGCCCTCTTGTCCTGCTGCTGGTTGCCTGGGAGAAGAGACCAACCCCCACCTGACTCCAACCTCCTGTCAGGGAGTTGCAGAGGGTGAGAAGGTCTCCCCTGAGCCTTCTCGTCTCCAGGCTGAACACCCCCAGCTCCCTCAGCCTCTCCTCATGGCACTTGTGCTCCAGTCCCTTCACCAGCCTCGTTGCTCTGCTCTGGACCTGCTCCAGCACCTCAGTATCCTTCCTGAGCTGAGGGGCCCAGAGCTGATCACGGGATTCAAGGTGTGGCCTCACCAGCACTGAGTCCAGGGGCAGAATCACCTCCTGGCCCTGCTGACCACTCTGTTCCTGATCCAGGCCAGGATGCCATTGGCCTTCTGGGCCACCTGAGCACACTGCTGGCTCCTGTTCAGCTTTCTATTTATCCAAACTCCCAGGTCCCTTTCTGAGGGAGCACATGAACAGTGTTATTCATTATCCAGACACATTTACCTGTTCATCAGGATAAAACACAGTGATGTCGTAGCCCTTTAAACTTCTCTGCAGACTTTCTAGAGGTAGAGGTTAGAATAGAACAGGCACACAGAGATTTCTGAATTGTTATCGTCAAGTTCAAGTGTACTCATTCTGCCTCAGAAATAAATAGGTCTTACTCAGAATTAAGTAGCATATGAAGTCAGTGAAGTTTTGTGGAGTCAGTAAGGTCTTGTCTAGACCTTATATAAAATTAGTTTAATTCCACTGAGTGTCCCCGTTATTCATTTCCTCATGTTAATTCTGGGAATTTGTCACACAAATATTCACACTTGACACATCAGGGTTCTGTGAACATCTTTCTCTTTCCTTGAACTGTTCTTGTAGGAAAAACATAAAAGATTTAAGAGTATTAATCTTGGCCAATGTAAATTAGTGGTACGAGATCAGCTCAATTTCAATCTATATCACATGAGGATCTGGCATATGCACAGACAACCTGCAGAAGCATAATTTTCAAAGTTATTCAGAGCTTCCTGTTCTTTAAGCCCTATTCTACTGACTTTTCATTGAAATCAATGACACTTCTGAAAATTGCACAAAATTGCAGTTTTTAACATCCAAATGCAAAACCCATCAGTTTGTCCTAATAGTTACAGGTGCTTTCTGGATGCATGGTGTGAAGGTAAAATCATTTGGGCAAAGACAGAATAAGCAGGATTAGTTTCTACTTTTGCTATGTCTCATTATGAAGGCAAAGAGCAAAATTTACTTCATAGGCCTACTGCATATACCTAGGCTTGTGTCTTACACAGACACTAACTAGACCTGTGGCAACAGCCCTCTGTCATCATGGCCTGTACTGTCTTTCTGTAACTCACCTCCACAGTGTATGAAGCCATAGAGAGCATATCCTTTGTTGCAAGTACACTCGAAGGTGCCTGGATGATTGATGCACGTGTGGTCACATGTGCGTTCAAAAGAGCATTCATCAATGTCTGCAAGTGTTAAAGGGATGCATCAGTATCCTTCAGGCTGACAAGGGAGCCCTGATGAGCTAGCACAGTTGGATGCAGAGATGTGCAGATTAATGTAAACTAAGCAAATTCTTGTAAGGCAAATAATGAAGCATAATGAAATGAAAACCTTTAGAAGAGCACTTACCTTGCCAAACAAACATTTTCTTGGCAAACACAAAAACTGCTGTTACATTTTTAAAATTATGTTTAAAACAAATTACTTCCCTTCTATGGGAGGAGAAAACTGCTGACAAAACTCTTATTAAGAAAAGTCTATAAAAGAAGTCTATAAAAGAAAATATCACCTTTGTTTGTTCCCCCTGAATGAAAGCAAAGGCCACACTTTTCATTCTATACGAATGTGCAGTGCCTGACTTAAGCCTGCTGAAAATCACCATGTTCTTCGAGAGAGAATGTTCATTATATCACAAAAAGTACCTAAAATTTCTGTGCTAGCCCATTAAGCATGCCATGTAAGAATGCTGCAAAGCACAAAAACATTCACATCAACTTCACTGACAAATTGCAAAAATCTTTTTTCTTGGGCTTTAGCATGCTTCAAGGTATCACTTTTGAAACAGTCTAGGGAAAGTAATAGAAGGGAGATACAAGTCTTTAAAATGAATTTTCATAAACAGATTCCATTACAAAAAAGACACATAAACTATCCTAAAAATTGGGTGTTTGTATAATAAGTTTGCTCCATATAAATAGTTGTTCTTCCTTGTCTGATTTAGAAAGTATAAGAACAAAATTCTTTTCTGTTCGGCTTTCTGAAATTCATCATTGATGTCAGCTGGCTGTTGGAAATGGCATAATTCACCAACTGGCTGATTGACTTTACATTATTTCATGCTGTAGCTTTTCCAAAACCACAGACCATCTTGATCTTTACATTTTCATCCATTTAAGCAGCTTAAACAGGATTGCTAACTCTATATGTACAAACCATTATACAGTAAAACAAATATGCTTTGTAAGTCTCACAGGAGAAATCCACATCATCCACAAAATCAAATGCTTTATGATGTTTTAGGGAATAGTGATTCCAGTCTGTCTACAGGCCTATAATTTCATAGATCGCATCATATCTTTTTTTCCCCCTCAAATAATGAATTCACGGCAACTCAATGTCCCATTAAGAAAAAGTCATTTCACTGCAATGGAGAATCAGTCAGTAAGATGGACAGAGAGATATTGTCTATTTTTACCTGCAAATTATTGTAAGATCATTAAGGCAGGAGGAAGCATTAGCCTCACAGAAAGCTTTTCGATATGATGCTGTCTCTGTTGCTTCCAGATAATAGTTCACTGTGCCATTAAACATATCTCCTATGATAGTATCAAGCCAACTGTATTAATTCAACAGCTGTTTCAGAAGAAAAAAATCCAAAACTGAGCAATGGAAATTATTCTGGGGCTCATTATCACTTCATTATTTTAGGAGATGTCCAAGCCACGCTGATTTGTCCTACTTTGTTCTACTATTGTCTCTCCAGTGCACATACCTTGACAGGATTTCTCATCTGTTAATAATTTAAATCCTTTTCTGCAGCTGCAATCAAAACTGCCAACAGTGTTCTTACAGAAATGAACACAGCCTCCATTATTGGACTGGCATTCATCAATATCTGTAACGAAAAAAACACTTCAGCAAATAAACACAGCGCACTCAACATACTTCCACTGCCAGATCCAGACAACAGTCACGGCCGATTGGTTAGAGGAGCCCAGAAACAAAATCTAGTGAGACTACCACAAACAGTAAGGAAGATCAGATCCAACTCTTCAGAATGACCTGGCTCATTCAGCCCCAGGCCAGTGTTATTTGCTCTCATTTAACATATTGCTGTCAGTTTTGGGTATATGTGTTCATAAATGACCATTTCCCTAAGTTCTGTCAGAAAACATTTTGACTCCAACATGCTCTAAAAGGTTTTAGCATTTTAAACATCCTCTCCATTTCCTCTTCAGAAGCCCTGCAGAAATGTCAGGCAGAGACTTTCTGAGCTAACTCCATCCTTTTCATGACAGTATTAGAATGAGGCCTTTATCTAGTATTAATTGACTCAGGCATGGGGATTTCATAATTTTTGCTTAGCAGAACAGTCTTAACATCTAATTATTGGAAAATGTATTCTAATACAAAACCTAACTGTCCCTTTGCTCCCTGCCAGTACTCTCATTAGAGCTGGTTGGACCAGTACATATTTATAAAACACATCTCTGTTTACACACTGATATTTACTCACAAACTGCTGACTGTGAGTAAACAGCAGACTATTAGACGGTATACCTGTGAGCACCCACATACCTGCCTCTTCCATTACTGACGTCTACTTTACCACAGACCAGTATTATTTCCTACCAAATCTCACCTGTGAAAAATGAGGCCATCTTGGCACAAGAGGTGGAAGTGGCAAGAGGGAGGGCAGAGCAGAAGAGATTCTCTGCACGTGATACACCTGATGTGATGCAAATCATGCCCCTACCTCTAGCTGCAGTCCTTTCTCTGGTCAGATTACACATACTGGCTTTCCTCTGGACACTAGTTTACCTTAGTCTGGAGGTTAAAACCTTACAGCAAAGTGTGGGTACACACGTGTCCATGAGTATAAAACTCACCTTTACATGTCTTTCCATCAAACTGGAGTGTGAACCCAACGGGACAGCTGCAGTGAACTCCAGTTGATGTATCTTTACATGTACGATCACAGCCGCCATTATTCACCGCACACGTTTCTAGACAACAAGATAAAGCTGAAGTTTGCTCAGGAACATTATAAAGGCAACAAGAAACATCATGTGATACAAGGCACATTTCAAACACACTGCTATTCAATCACTTATAGTCTAGTATACACGAGCAGCTACTAAATATATGTGTTGGCAAAAATCCTGCCTCAGCTATTTCCAGGTATTTTGTGGAGTCTCTACAAACTAAGATACTGTCCTCTGGGTATTCTTGTCCTTAAACACAAATCCCTGTCTCCTTAGTGATGGACCTGTTACTGTCAATCTGTCTCCTTATGCCCCCACTCAATCCTGGCTGATCCTCTGACAATTCCCACCAACGCTCAGACACCTGGTTACACTCAGCACTACTAAACCAGTTTTCTTAAATCCCTCCCAACACACCTTCCCATGCTACCTGTGCTCCCAGTCATGGTGTATTACACCCACACTGTGCTCCTTCAGGCTGGTAATCCAGGCACCATCTCAACTTAATGTGTGTTCTTCTAACTTCCCCCTATGCAAACTATGGCTAAATCTCAGCAAACCTTTCTGGCCAACACCCCTAAAACATGGTTCTTCATATCCAATTAAACAGAAATAATTCACTCTTTGGCATTCATCCCCTTGTAGCCAGTCTAACCACCTCAGTCAGTCTTAACAGTCTTTTCACTGGCTGGACAAATGCAATTTTATATAGCACATATTGATTCAGAGAGCTGCAAAGAACATTCTCTCTCTCTCTGCTTTCTGACCTTCTCTTTCCAGCTCTGTCTCCTAGTTCTGTGCAGCATCAAGCATAAACTACTTATTCTCAAATTTTGAGAGCTTTACTGGTTTATTCTCTCCCAATGTCTCATCTCACATTCAGTACTGGAAGGCTGTGTCCAACCCCAAGGGAAGACACTCAGAATGCCTCTTCTTCATTCCTCTTTCCACAGAAATGTCACTTTTTCTGTCTGAATATGAATTTGGAAGGTCAGGGCTAGCCCTGTACTTCTGGTAGTTTCTTCCTCAGGCTCTCTGCTTCAAGCCACTATTGTGGCAAATGCCAGTAAGCACAGTAAATCACCCTGACTGCTTGGAGAAAGGGCTTGTGAGAGAAGGACATACACTGACCCAGTTGCCCTGGGAACACAGTGATTGTTTCTCACGCCAGTGCCTTCCCTGTAGTAACAGAGCCCCAGAGTCTGACATTCTGGGCCAGATGCAAACACCCCTAGGAAGAATAAGATAGCCTTGTACCCTAATGTGTCCTTTTAGATGCAATCCACCACAGAGCACAAGTCTCTTCCATGCAGAAGTAGAATTTCAATTGAATAGAAGCAGGTAAAACATGGCTTCCTCCACAATCTAGACTAAAAAAACCGAGTAAAACTGCAGCTCAGAGGGAATTGTACTGCATTCCCACGGTGAATTACAACCATGGAATCATATGCTGCTTGAAGGGCAAGTTCCTGATCCCTCCTACTGACTGTCAGAGCACATGTAATTTCTTGCACATTATGGAATAATATTATTTCTTTAAGAAAGAGTGGAGCATCTCAGGCAGAATGCAGCCCAGAGGTGATGGTTACAATAAAAAAACCCAAACAAACCCGCACTAATTTTTCAATACAGGAGGTTTCAACAAACAGCAAAATTATCTTGAAATAGCACTTTTACCCATAAGCAACCGTCGCTTCACCCTCTTGTCCACATCAGCCGCTGCTGTGGTGTTTCCCTCTGAAATTTCAACAGAAGCCTCTTCCCTCTCTGTAAGGAACAAGTAAAAAGCAAATGAGTAAAGGTGCCCTGACAAGAAACCTCATCTGACTTTCAATACATACACACATGCGAACAGCTGCATCACACACTGAAACATCACAATTAGAACTGACTAGTCAGAAATAAATTATTTTTAAACAGAAAGTAAGAATGAAAATCATGAAGGCCCTTCTGTCAAAGCCATAAAAATACTCTGCTTTTGTGGCTTCCTTACAAATCATGTTTGCTTCAGTATTCCTAACAAAACAAAAGATGTGCTGCAGATGTTGTAAACAGCAACAAGATGAAAGAACTAATTGAACTGTCATGAACTGTTCTGTTAAGAGCCCACTGTCATCATCTATCATGGACCAATACAAGGACCAGCCAGTTACGCCTGAGCATTTGATTTCAATCAACAGCCAACAAACTCTTCCAGAGGCTGGAAGAGTTTATAAAGCTTAAGTATTTTCTTTACTGGATGACTGCTTAGAAAAAGTTATCCACTAAATGATTTCAGAGTTCTGGTTTTAACAGACGTGCTCTTTGGTTACACTCTCTGGCTCATGCTATACGAGAAACTGAACCCAAAATATCCTAGAAGGAAGGTTAGTCTCTGTTTAATGACAGGCCTTGTGCTTCAGAGAGACCAGTGATAATTACAGACTGCAATAGTATTAGGTAGCTACTTACATAGGGAAATATGATTTGCCTTGACCAAATCAATTCACTCATGGGCTAGCAGGTTTCTTAGTTTCGAATTTCTTGGCATTTTCTAGGCATACTATTATGAGGAGCATTAACCATGTACACACAGCAACACCATACCACCCTAGAGTTGATCATCAACAGAAAAATACTTCCCTCCACCATATACTGACCCAGGCAGGTTTTCCCATCCACATGCATGATGTACTTGGGGTGACATCCACAAATAGGTCCATTATCAGCATCATCACATGTGTGCTGACAGCCCCCATTTCCATGATTACATGTTACTAGGAAGAAAATGCATGTCACATCTCAAGTACTTCCAGCATTTTTAAAAGACAGTGTGCAATTCTGTTTCCATTTGACCATCCAATACACTTTCCTAACACGTCCCTTTCCTGAAGAATTCTGCGAGACTGAAACACTGCTGAGCTCTCTTGTGGAGCTGAACTTCCCACCATTATAAATGATGGCACAACTCCCAAACTACAGACACTGTAACAAATAATAGACTGGTGTGAGTGTCCAGAAAAAGCATTGATCTTAGTTTAATTCAAATGCACACAATTGAGGCGTGTCATCCCAATTTAGTTATAACACACCAAATCCCACATCACTGCAAATAGAACGCTATATGTTCACTTTGGGAAATCATAAGCATATGCAGAATGTTGCATACAAATGCAGCTCCTCTGATTCCTGGACAGTTCAAATCCTGGTCGGCATTCACAGGCAACTCCTCCTTTGGGTGTTTCTCTGCAGATGTGGGCACAGCCATGATCTTTATTCATGCAGCTCATGCCTTCTGCAAAACAAGGCAAGTGCAAGAGCATCAGCATCCTCAGCATCTCTGTGTGCAGGCAATAGCCAAAGTCACTTCAACACAAACACATACAACAGCCTGCTACTTCTGAGAAGACCCTACAATGTCAAGACAAGAAGTATCAGCTTACAGACAGGAAAGGCAGGAAGTCCAGTCCTGCAAAGTCAATGGCCCCAAGGGTTCTCCTTCTGTGATCTTTTCTGTACCCACGTTCTTTGACTGCAAGGTCAAAAAGCAACATCCATAGATACGTACAGCACCTGAGTTCTCATCCAATGCTCTCACTTTATAAAACCTCCTAATTTCTTTTATAAAAATTTCAAGGTGCCCAATACCTGGCAAGATTAAAGCCTAAAGTGAAGTTATTATTTCTCTGCTTAAGCAAGCAGCATCCAGACACAGGTATGTTTAGGCCAACAGTCACAAGTCATCCCAGTATTGATTACAGGCCTACAAAGCTGATTCCCAAAGCAATAACCTACCCCAGCAGTGACCAAGCAGTGACCAGGCAGACATGCAGACTGTACATATGCCATATGTCAATTCTCTTTTTTACTAACCATTTTGTTTTCAATTTTTTTCTGATTTCGATAAGTACTACTTTTACTAGTATTGCTTTTAATAGTATCACTCCAAATAATCCCCCTGGGGATTATCACAGGTTTCTGTATTTCTACACACCTTCACATCCAGGCAGAAGTTAGTGCCGGTGCCTGCTTTAACTGAATGAAAAAGCAGTGTGACACCAGTGACTCTCTTCCCTTTGCTGCACTTCCCAAAAACATCGTCATTTTTATCTCTGACAGTTACAAGCGTTTCATGCACAGCACTCAATGACTGCTGGAGTATCTTGTCTGGCCTTTGCAAGAAGATGAAGTCAATTAAACAGGGTAGAATAGTTCTTAAAATTATTGTAAAGGCTTCTTTCACCTTGTCCCATGGTTCAATGAAATTACTGCCTTTGTCATTGGCAAAATGGTGACACAATTTGTACACAAGCAACATAAAACCACACAGCAGCTGGCTGAGTTGTCAAATGGGATCATTAGACCAAATTTTAAAGTGTTTCTTTTAACAGTATACCACAGATTTTTGATGAAGTCTTCTATAGTGCTACAAAACTGGGAGAGAAGACAACTGAATGCTCTCCTCAAGTATATGGAGAATATACCTATGACATCAAATTCCCTGCCTTGGCACATTTGACTTTAATAAGACAAGTTACACCAAAATGCTTTTTCTTCTTGATGAGAACATTGCATCTGAGGAGACTAAGTGGAGCATATTTTGGCTGCAAGGGCTTATCCCACATCACCTCAGTGGACTTCTACAGAGTTAAGCAGTTGCACAGAGGCAGAATGAAAAATGAGACTATGCTGCTAAAAAGCTCTTTTTGCAGTGTTATTACTAAATGAAACAAACCCACTGCATTGTCAAACAGAGGTCAGCACATCACCATTATTCCACTACACTTCAATTAGGTCCTTGCTCTACAGTGCTATTCTCACCAGCTACAGTACCCTTTCTCTACTAAGACAGCTTTAAGCCACAAAAGGACGGACATTGCAGAGCCCAGATTATTCTGCTCTACTGGCTTTTTGATTCCTTTCCCACAGTGAGGACTCCCTACAAGTCCAACAAGACAATGAGGCTTCAAATCCTGCAGCACACAGACACAGCCCTAGGAGCCCACATGAAAGCTGTCATCCATTATCGTGTCAGTCAGGGAACAGACAACCTATAAGGCCACAAATTAGCTTCATTAACACCAGTGTTTTTGTGAAAGTTCTGGTCTCAAGCATGCAATATGATCTGGCCTGTTAGCTCTGAGGTGTTAGAGAGCATTAAGAGATTTAGCAGCTTAGTTTCTGTTAACAAACTTATTCTTTTGTCTCTACTGAGCTACCAAAGGGGAAACTGTTCAAGCAGGTACTTTGGCAAAGTTCACTGACACCAGACGAATGGTTTAAATGCTCCCTTTGAGACTGCTCTGTTCTGAGTGTGCAGAATTCAATTATGTCTCCACAGAAAGCTAAAACTGTACTTTCCAAACCAGGACACATTTTCACAACAAAGTACCCATTGTGTAACAAGGTACTCAACCAAACCCATCAAAATCAAGCTGAGCCAAAAGGCAACCTACATCTGCATAATAAATTCTAGCATTTACTATGAAACTGCTGCTTGTTTCCAAAGGTGGTAGATGATTTCTCTCAGCCCCATTTTATAAGGCTGTATTAAAGAGATGACTGTAAAGCTGTACATGCAGTGTGACTGTGAACTCCTTCATGGACACAAATTCTCCCAGGTCACATTGTTCCTGGCAGACTGTGGTCCAGAACTGAACCCCAAACAAATTTTAGTCAAATCCCACCATGTAATTCCTAGACACTCAATTTATCTTGCACAAGACGCTGCCCTAGTGACATATAAGTGTCTTGGGATGGATGACACTCAACTGTCGCACACAGCCAACAGAGCCAAATCCAGTGCCTGCCTCACCAAGCAGATCCCAAGCCAGATGAGTCCTTTCTGATGACTGGTCCTTTTTGAAGTTACCCAGCAAACCTGAGATCTGACCACTCCTGTCACTGGCAAAGACAGGCAAAAAAAGGAAGCACAGTATTTCCCTGCCATGTAATAAAAAAATTACTCTTTTACATGTATGATCTGTGTTCAAATCTTTTTATTTGTTTAGTTTTTTGCACAGATGATGTTGAGACATCATCCCAATCTGTTAAGAGCTTTAAGGCTCCATTTAGGGCACATTCAAACAGGCACTCAATCAGACAGAGTGGGAGGATGCAATTGTACAGAGAGCTACCAGAGATTGTCAGAGGTTCCCTCTATTAGCCAAATGGTGAGGAGCATTGGCACAGCCATCAGAACAGGACATCCCAGGAACACTTTAGCCTTTTATCATGCTTTGTACACCCTTGTGCTAAGGCAACTTTTCCAAAATAAACATTCTCCACAGTCAGAAGGACTTCAAGAGCGACAGCTGAGATGGTGCCCTATGTATGAGCTTTCAGTCCACATAGTGATTTCAATGTGGCTTTCATCTTGCAGATGCTGTTCACTCCTATTGATTCAGCCCAATGAGCAGACAGCTATGCCTGTGAAATACCACAAGAGAGAGCAGCAAGATTTACCATCCGTAACAACAGCAACCCCACGTGGTACTACATATTTACTCACAAAAAAACCCCTCGTTTCCCTTCAAATGTTTATATTCTCTAATATGGAGCAAGTTAAACACAGAAACAAGATATGCATGATTGCCCTGCCAGCTCCTTAAACAGCCTCCCAAGGTAAATTCGTTCTCCCAGCTCATTCAAAGAAGACAGCCAAGAATAAAAATAGGACTGTGCACAACTTCCCAGGACACTTTCAGTTCCTGTGGTTTAAGCAGGCACAACCATCCAGTCCCCCAGAGCATGCCTATGCCTCAGACCAATACTGTCAGATCAGAAGAAAAATCAGCTTTAATTATCAAACTCTCCTCTAATAGCTACCTGACCTTGAGTCCCATGTTACAGTAAGTGACAAGGCACCCTGAGGAGAGTTGCAAGATGATAGACTTTGAAGGGCAGATGACTCTCAGGCTCCCCTGTTACACTGCTTATGAGAAGCAATACAACAGCCCCAAGCCTCTCGAACTCTTCTATCTCAACTCCAGTACACTTTTTCCTGTGTATGTAAAGGCTAGTATTGCACACCACAAGGAAAGTCAATCAGGCATTAATGTATAAACTCTCTTAAGTGGGCTGAGAGACAGGGAAGGAAATATTCCCTCATATTACAAATAAGAAGCAAAACTGAATAGACGGTCTAGGCAGTAGGTGCCAAAGGCTGCTTTAATCAATGCTGTGAGGTCTCAGAAGAGAACTAAAAGTACATACACTGTGATGCATACACGGGGCAGAGAAAAGAAGTCCTAGGAATGAACAGAAAAGCAGAGAACGAAGAGAGGGGAAAGATAAAGCAGTGAGACTTGATTACAACAGACCTGCCCACCCAAGGGAAATAAAAAGTTAAAAAAAATGTGGGGAATCCCATGGAGCACTTTACAGTAATGGAGGGGAAGTGGGAACAAAACAGTCACAGCATGATAACCTGAAAAAATGGCTTTTAAAGAAAACAAAACAAATACTTTCGTATTTTACTAAGAAAAACAAAAGCATTTCAGGCAAAACCAGTTTTTTTTCTTAAGACAGGTTTTGATAAAAATATATTTCATCTAGCAGTTTTCAGAAAAAAAATGTATCTTTTTTTCCCCTCTGTTTTTCTCCTCAAAGAAAAAAAAACCCCTAAATTTAGTGGAAATCTAGCATTATGAAAAAAGGGCCTTTTTTCACAAAAAAAAGCAACCAAAAAGCCAACAAAAAAACCCTAAAACAAAAACCCACCAACCCAAAAAACAGAGGGAGAATTCCAAAGGTACAATTTAAGGAACAAATATTAATGATAGGAAATGCTGCTGCTGTTAGTTCAGAAGAGTAGTAGGTACTCAAGTAGCAGCAAGTATGAATAAAATGAGTTGGAAGTTTTTCCCTCCTTGGCATCAGACAAGACAAGGAGCTCAAGCAACTGATTTTCATCCTTAGACACACCACACCATCCATGCATGCACACAAACATACCTCACTGCTAGCAAGACAAGATGAAGGGAAATGCCTTGCCTCACTGCAGTCTTCCTGCTTGTCCCCACTCCTGGCTCAGCCCCCGCAGTGGCAAGCTGAGCAACAGCCTGAGAAACCACCATGCCTCACCCAATCCCTGTGAGATCAAGGCCCAGACCAGAGAAGCTGAGAATACAAATTGTTAATTCAAACAAAAGATCAACCCAGCTTTGTCAGATGACAGCCACCTCAGCACACTCATCTGTGGATGGCCATATATGTCTATAAATGTTGATCTCTTCACTATGGGGAGTTTTAAAGTGAGATTTGTTTACTCATGCTCAGGTTCTTCTTATAGGCATGCCAACAATAAGCCATAGATTAAAGAAAGCTTTGCAGCTTTAAATACTTCTTAGTAAGATTTTCACTGTACAATGGACAACTCCCTGATTTGAGCAGCCACTTGAAAGTATTCCCTAAGGGCATCCAAAATAATTTTGTACAATCTGATGTCTGATTAGATACCCAAGACTCTCTGATCTCTCAAAGGTTGATTCATAAAGGTTTCACTCAAAACGAAGAACAAGATTTGAATACCTCTGGTGCTAACAAACAGCAAATCTCTTAGCTGAAACCTAAACACTGTACAGGGAATCCAAATGGTAACTGAAGATAATGCAGGTATTGACCTATATCTAAAGCCAATGAAAATGGTCAGAACTTGCTGTCCTTCCATTTGTTGCCATTCTTTGGATCAGGACACAGCTGCATGACAGAGCATCAGGTACACTGGGAGTACAGCCTCTAACAAGGCATACACAATACTGCAGACATACAGGTGGGATCAAAGAGGCAGAAGGGATGAAGAATCTTAAAAGTCACTTAGAAGATTCTGACACACTGTTCCTTTTAAAAGGAGTGAGGACTTCGAGACCCTTCACAGCTTTGGAAACCTCAACCTAAAAATACTTTTGAAAATGCTTCAGAGATTGCAGTTAACTTCTGTCAGAAACTCCTGCTTGGTGTCTGGAGGGAAGCAGCCAGTACCTTCTGAGCGGTGGATGCAGGTATGCTGGTTATCACTCAAAAAGAACCCTTCTTTGCAGCGACATTCATAGCTCCCCACAGTGTTGATGCAAACATGTTGGCAACCACCATTGTTGAACATGCATTCATCTGTATCTGAAAGAGAGAAACAGAGAGAGATCAGCTTTGTACTAACACCAATACACTCCTATTGGCAGCAGCCACTCAACATGCAGTACAGACAGACATCATCTCGACGTGTAACCACCAAAGCAGCTGAGACACCCCAGGCTGGCCTGTTGCTGCTGTGTTGTCACCATTGGAGAAGTATATTTTTGCTGCTGCTCTTCCCCTGTTTGCAGTTTGCCCAAGCAGTCACAAGGCTCCCAACCAAGCAGGGTTGCTGGTTAGGGCTAAGGTGGAATAGCACCAGTGAGGCCAGAAGCAGGACTCCCCCACCACCCACAGGAATGCTCTCTACCCCTGGGGGCAGCTGGATGGCACTGCCACTCCGTGGCCTAGCACAGGCACACCTAGGTTGAGCAACCATACATAGCTCTGTCTTGCTCCATGGGATACAGTTTTGGCTCCAAACCCATCCAAACTATAAAAGGCGTTCTTCCAGAAGGTCCCTCATTCTGAAGCAAAGGTGGGACAAGAAAAATACAACCTTCAAAATAAATTTAGCTAAAAATCTATCCCCTGCTCCTGACTTCCCTCCTAGCTAGAATTCATACACCATATCTTTTCTGATGCTCAGTTTGATTTATCATCATCCTCCCTCAAGTTTTAAGCCATCACTACTTACCGTCAAGGCTGCTGCTATGTTGCCTGACTGCAATAAAGGACAAGAGCAGAAGTTCTGGAAACAGTTTTAGTGTTGATTTTGCAATAGTCTGAGCTTCAAGAATGCCAGAGAACACAGACTGGCTCTGTTTGCAAGATAACCAAGAGAACCAGAGAGTAGAAAAACTTCTGCCAAGCCTCTGAACACTCATCCCAATCTCCAGTTCTTTGCAATTTTACCCCTTAATAAGCACAGCTTTTTTGCAACCACTACAAGGAAATAATTTTCCTACCCTAATTTTCAGAAATGTCAATTTTAACAAGTAGAAATGCTCAGTCCCTTCAAAGCTGGACAAAACATTGCTGAGGCAAATCACTGGTTTCATTTGCAAATTCATATGTAACATCATGTTTGCTCTTTGTTCTGTTCATTGCTCCTGGCTAACAGTACATTATTTTTAATTTAACATTGTAGCATTTCTGGCAGAA